AAACAGACCTTAAACAGACCTCAAACAAACTTCCAAAACAAAAACTCGAACATACCTCCCGGAGGTTCCCCGGAGGTTCCCCGGGGGTTCCCCGGGGGTTCCCCGGAGGTTCCCGGGAGGTTCCCCGGAGGTTCCCCGGAAGTTCCGAGGTTCCCCGGAGGTTCCCCCGAGGCGCCCAGGGAATTCCTGAGGCGCCCGGAGGAATCCCGGAGGCGCCCAGAGGCGGCCCCCCGCCCTCATTCCTGCCCTCGCTCCCCCCTTCGTTCCCGCCCTCGCTCCCGCACTCGTTCCCACCCTCGCTCTCGTTCTCGCCCTCGTTTTCGCCCTCGTTCCCGCCTTCGTTCCCGCCCTCGTTCCCGCCCTCGTTCTCGCCCTCGTTCTCGCCCTCGTTCCCGCCCTCGCTCCCGCCCTAGTTCTCGCCTTCGTTCTCGCCCTCGTTTTCGCCTTCGCGCCCGCTGTCGCTCCCGCCCTCGTTCCCGCCGTCGCTCCCGCCTTCGTTCCCGCCTTCGTTCCCGCCCTTGTTCTCGCCCTCGTTCCCTCCCTCGTTCCCGCCCTCATTCTCGCCCTCGTTCTCTCCCTCGCTCCCGCCCTTCCCGCCTTCGTTCCCGCCCTCGTTCTCGCCCTCGTTCCCGCCTTCGTCTCCGCCCTCGTCCCCGCCTTCGTTCTCGCCTTCGTTCTCGCCCTCGTTCCCGCCCTCATTCTCGCATTCGTTCTCGCCCTCGTTCTCGCCCGTCGCCCCCGCCATCGTTCCCGCCCCAGTTCCCGCCCACGCTTCCGCGCGATCGTTCCTAATTACCCTTGCGTCTTGTCCCCGCCTTCGTTATGGCCCTCGCTCCCGCCCTCGTTCTTTCCCTTTTCGCTCCCTCTCTGGGCCCTCTTGTTCGGTCCTCCGACCTCGTTCCCGCCCTCGCGCCCGCTCTCGCTCCCGCCATCCGTTCCTTTCTCCTCCTCCGCCTCATTTTCGGCCCCTCGGATCTGCGTCTTTTCCACCCTCCTCGGCGCCGCCCTTCCCAACCTCTTCGCTCGCCGCCCCTCTCCTCCTCCTCCCCCTCCCCCTTCCCCCATCCTCCTTCCCCCTTTTCCTTCCCCCCCCTCCTCCCATGTCCCTCCCTCCTTCCTCCTCCTCCTCCTCCTCCTCTCCTCCTCCTCCTCCTCCCCCCCTCCGCCCCCCCCCCCCCCCCCCGCGCCCCCCCCCCGCCCCGCTTGGATTTCCGAACCCCAGCTTGCTTTCGCAGGGCGTCGTCGCCGCAAGAAGGCGCGCGCCGCCGACCGACGCCCTGCCCATCCTGGGCCCTCATCTCCGGCCCGAGGCCGAAGAAGGAGCAAGAAGAAGAGGAGGAGGAGGGGAGGAGGAGGAGGAGGAGGAGGAGGAGGAGGAGCAGGGGGAGGAGGTCTCGGCGGGAGCCCCCCCCGCGTAGAAGGCCCCAGAGCTGGCCCAAGAGTTCACGCGACATCGCGCGGCGGACCCCCATCGAGGAGCGCCCGGGACAATTCAAAGAAAACCCGAGAAGCTTAGAATATCGCTCCGAACCGCCCCGGCGGCCACCGGGAAAAACTGGTCGGCCCCCAAGGCGGGGCCAGAGGAAACATGTCAGAGGGGCCCGAGGGCCCTCCTCCCAAAGACGAGCCCTTAGACTGAGAGCAATCACCCAAGCGCCCTTCAAAAGGCCGCCAAGAGCCGAAAAAACCTCCGGGCAACCCCCGAAACAAAATTCGGATGCCCGCGAAGAGCCACCCACAAAACCCACGGAGTCTCATAGTTATTCGTAATTTTATATATCAGAGGCGGGATGGGCTGAGAGCCCAAAGGATCGTCGCCCCAGGAGCTCGCGGAGATTCCGCCCGCCCGGCGCTTCCAACGGATTCTGGGCGGCCTTCCAGCCAGCCGGCCGAACCGTAGACGCGCGTGCGCGAGGGCCCAAAGTTTCGCTTCGAATATGCGCGCAAGGACCCTGAGCAGCCCCAGTGCCGCTTCAAAACTACCCAACCCGACCCCTTCAAAAACATGGAATTTGCCCAGGAATCCCGATGAGGAGCGCCATGTGCGCCTCTTATGTTATTCGGCGGTTTTCGCGCCCTCGCCCGCTCCATCGCCCCGAGACGGCCAGCGAGGGTTTCCAAACAACTCAGGATTGCCCCGAGATTTTTCCGAAACATCACCGCGACTGTCGACCGCTCAACGGGCCCCCCAAGATGGCCCAAGAAAGCCGGGCGGTGCTTGCGTTTAGGGTTTTTTCTTCTGCCACTAACGAGTTAGATGGGTCCAGCGAGGATGCTCCACGTTGCCGCCCGTGGACGCCTCGTGCGCTGGGTGGGCCCAGCGAGGTTTCCCCGCGTTGCAGGCCGTGGCCGGTTCATTACCGCCTCTAGCTCACACCACGTAAACAACACCATATAGTTTGCATCACATCCGACTTACACATCCGCAGTGCACGGACGTACTGCTTGAGGCCCACGCTGGCCACCATGTTCGTGATTGTCCTTCTTCGCATTGTCCTCGAAGGCCAAGGGAAGCCGTTGTCGCCGCGGCCGGCTTCGAAACCTTGGCCCACTCGGGCGGCTTGGGGCCCTCTTGGGGGCCCCTCGGGCTGTGTCGGGCTGTTTGGGGGGCATATTGGGCCATCTTGGAGCGTGGTAAAGCCGACAAGGCGGGAACGCGAAAACCCACTAAACACCCACGAAGCATCAATGATGTTGGCCTCTTGGGGCCCTCTTGGGATCCAAGCGGGGAGGGCCCAGCACTTTTCTGTGCCGGCCCCGGGTGGGGTTCGCGGCGAAAATGACGAAGGGCGCTTCTGTTCGCGATCTGGCCAGCTGGAGGACCGCCTCCGGGCCCCCGGGCCATCCAAGACCGCCCGCGGTGAAGACGTTGCCCCGGGGGTGGAGTCGAGGGTTCGGGCCCACGGAGCGAAAGCCAACCTTTGACGGCAGAAGACCCTGATTAGCGGTGTCAGGAGACAAAGGGAGCGTATATACATATTCCTCTTCTTATATTTTTATAAGCCCCGGCGGGGGGAAAACCCGTCACCCCCCCCCAAAAAAAAACAGGACTCCCGGGATCTGGGGTTTTGGGACCCTCCGCACGGGCCTCGAAGCGGCCACCGGGCCTCGCAGGGCGCTTTGCGAAGCCTTCCCGGCACACCTAGGGTGATCAGGGGGGTCATCGGAGACGTCCCAGAGACCCCCAAGACAGCACAAGAGCGCTCCAAGAGTGACCGACGTGACCTCAAAATGGCCCAAGAGGCTTCCAGGACGGTCCCAAAGAGGCCTCCAAGAGCACTCCCAAGAAGGCCCCCCGAGGCAATAATCATTGATTTTCAGCTGGTTTTTTTGTGAATTTGGGGGTTCTCCTCTTTTCGGCTTCCCGACGCTCCAAGACGGCGGTCTTCTGGGCGTCCGAAGCCGCCTGGGAGGCTCCAAAATCGTCCCACAACCATCCGAAAGGGCTTCCAGGCAGTCCAAGAGAGCCCCAAAACGGCACAACACGGGCCCAAGGTGGCCCTCAGAGAGCCCCATGGCGGCCCAAGATGGCCCAACGACACCCTCCGAAGATTTCCAAATCGTGATTCGGTCGTTCAGGGAGACCGCGGTTGGAGGCAGGGTGGCCCGAGGAAGCCCCCGGAGGCCCCCAGAATACGCCCAGGAGGCCTCCAGAAGGCTTGAAGAAAACCCCAAACAACTTTTGTGAGGCCCCTAGAGGCTCTCCAAGGAGGAGCCTCCGCAAAAAAGATCTGATGAGGATGGGGAGACTGCGCAGGGTATGGCGAGAAAAAAGGAAGAATAAGCATGGAGGAAGGATAACGAATAAGATTATGGAGCAGGTAACCAGGAGTTATCGCTAAATTGTCGGGTTGGTGTTCCTGCTATTCCGCCTGCGCACCAAACTTCAAGGACCAAAGTGCATGGTGCGAAGCGCCACTGCAGCCTTGTATACATATATATATATATATATATATATATATATATATATATATGTATAAATATATATATATATATATATATATATATAGTGTATATATATACACATATATATATAGATAGATCGATAGATCGATCGATCGATATAAAGAGGGGGAGGGATATATGTGTATATATATGCATATATATATAAGAGAGAGAGAGAGAACAAAAAAAAAAAAAAAAAAAAACAAAAAAAAAAAAAAATGAGAGAGAGAGGGTGATGAGTATCAGCACTGCACTGCGAAAGACTAAACGGGGGACCATGCGGGAGAGCATACAGGGGGCCATGCGGGCGACCACAGGGGAGGGAGACCATACGGGAGCTGATGCGGAAGACCACACGGGAGACTTTGCGGGAGAGCATGCGTGAGACCATGCGGAAGACCATGCGGGAGGCCAGACGGGCGACCAGACGGAAGAATAGAGAGGAGATCCTACAGGAGGCCATACGGGAGACCAGATGGGAGACGATGAAAGATACGGGCGACCATGTGGGAGGCCATGCGGGAGACCAGGAGGCCTTGCGGATGATCAGACGGATGACCAGACGGGAGACTATACGAGAGGCCATACGGGAGACCGTGTGAGACACCATGCGGGATACGACGTGAGACCATGCGGGAGACCATGCGGGAAATGATGCGTGAGACCATGGGGGAGAACATGTGGGAGACCGTATGGGAGACCATGCGGGAGACCATACGGGAGACCATACGGAAGACCGTACAGGAGGCACACAGAAGACCAGACGGGCGACCATTCGGGAGGCCACGCGGGAGACCATACGGGAGGCCAGACAGGAGACCATACAGGAGACCATGCGGGAGACCATGCTGTAGACCACGGGCTACCGATCGCGGAGTTGGAGGAAGCAGCCCCCACGTTAGAAGAAGTGCAGCGTATGTGGTCATACATATTGTTATACGCATCTATATATATATATATGACGCTCTTTGAAGACAATTGTGCCTCACCTTTCTTCGAGCACGACCGTACGCATTTGTGCTCTGAAGCTCTTTCGGCAGGAGTCACGTCCGCGCATGACCGCTCCCGTGAACCTCTTCGAGGTCGGCGCGCGCCTGGCCGAGCTCTGGCTGCTGCGGGGGCACGCTTGCCCGCCTTGCAGCTGCCCGCCCTGCCCGGCCCAGACCTGCTCGCTGACGTGCAGCGGGCCGGCCTCCAGCCACAGCGAGCCCTGCTCGGCCTCGGAGGCGCCGGGAGGCCCCGGCTGGTCCTCCGAGTGGCTGGCCGCGGCGGCTGGCGCGGGCCTCGGCTGGCTCGCCGCGCGCTGCTGGCCTCCGGCGGTCACGCTCGCCGTCGCCTTCGCCGCCGAGGTGCCGCCGGTCCCAGACCGCGCTGCGCCGCAGCCGCCGCCCGTGGCGACAGGTGGGCCAGTGACGCCGAGCCAGCTCACGCTGGACCTGGCAGAGCCGCAGGTCCTCATCAACTTCCCCGACGATGCTGCGGGCCTGCGGTGGCATCACCGCCTCCTTCTCATCCAGACGCCCACGCCTGGTGTCTGGATCGCCAGCACGCCCGACTATTCGGTACACAGGCTGGACCTGAACGTGCATCGCGTCGTTGCGCTGGCGCGCAACGGCCCCTTCCTTGCAGCTCAGTGGCATGAGAGTTACGTCTTCGACAACCCGATCCCCGCGGTGGACCACACGCGGATCAGGCAGCAGGCTGGCTCGCTCGCCCTCGTCCTCGGCCAGGTCGGCCCAGCGCCCGCGGCGCCACCAGGTGCGGCAGGGGTCTGGCGAGTCGCCGACCCGTCGCACCGCGCCTTCGGGGACGAGATCCCCGCCCAGGTCCTCAGCGACCCAGCCGCGTTCATCACCCCCGACGCCGCCGGCGACGAGGACTACCTCTGCGGGCTCGTGATGATCGACGGCTGCTGGACTTTCTGCCAGCTCGTGGCCGACTCAGATAAGGACGCCTGGGAGAGGGTTCTCATCTCCGACCACCGCAAGGACGCGCGGGTCGCGGGCGACTCTCGCGACCCGCTGACTGGCCAGCGCCTCTCCTCCTTCGTCGACTCCTTGGCCCTCCAGTACGCGGCCTCGGACCCACCGTTCCCCCTCGGCGGCCAGAGGGTCGCTCACGAGTACATGCGGACCTTGCGCGCCACGGGCATGGAGGGGGTCACTCCCCACCTGGACTTCGTCCACAAGTCGGACATCTCGCCCAACAGTAACATCACGCGCGCAAGCCGTCGACTGACCGACGCGCCGCACGCCTTCCAGCAACAGGACATGCTGAACCTTCCCAGCCTCGTGGGCATCGAGGTCCTGGTGCGCTACCTCGCCCAGATCGAGATGGCGGTGGCCTGCAACCATCGGAGCCCAGACTTCCAGGACCTCGACGCGGTCGTCGCCTCCACGGTCAACGAGCACGGCGGCCTCGTCTTGCCCGAGTACACGAAGTACATCGCCCAGATCCAGAAGGACGAGGCCTTCACTTTGAAGCAGCAGCGGCAGTGGCGCGAGGAGCAGATCTCGCGCGCGCGGGGCCGCGGCTCTGGACGTGATGACGGACGCGGCGACGGCGGCGGAGGAGGCGGCGGCGGCGGCGGCCGCGGGAAGGGCCGCGGGCGCGGCCGCGAGGGTGGACGCGGACGCGGCGGTCGGGGGGCCGATGCCCCGGCCGCCGCGGACGCGTGACTCCCGTCGGCCAGGCCGCGGAGATGCGGCGCTCGCCCCAGCGTCGCTCGGCCTTCGACTCCTCCGCGGCCTGGTTCACTGGGGGCCGCACGAGAGGCCCTGCTGCCGAAGGGGCTCCTCGATTTTTGACTGGCCGTGCTCACGGCGATCCTTTCCCTCTGCCACGGCTCGGCAGAACGACGCCGACGGATGTGCTACCACGCGGCACCTCGCGCGGCGTGCGGCGGCGGTGCAACCAGGCGCTCATGGCTCTGAACGACCTGGGCGCGCCGCTGGCGGCTGCGCGGCGTCTCGCCTCGGCCCTGCCCGCGAACGCTGCCCAAGCATTTGTTCTCCAGCGCGTTCATCAGCGAGCGGCTGCCTTCGGCGAGCCGCTCGGCGAGGACGGTGATGATGCGCTTCTCTCCATTCTCAAGTCCAAGGACATCCACAGCGCTCGGCCGACTCCCGTTCGCTCCCCTACGAAGTGCATCGTCTGAAGATTCTCGACAGCGGCATACGGCCGCTTCCCATCCGCTCGCTGGTCCCTGGCTCGCTGCTGCCGCTCATCGACCACCCCGAGAAGTACCTCTACCGGTCGCAGGCGGTGCTGGGCGCGATGACCGAGGCCGGCGAGCTGCTGGCCCCCGTGCACCCGTTCTGGGACGTCAACCTGAGGCGCGACCCCAAGCTCCGGCTCGACCTCTTCAAGAAGCTCATCCGCATCGGGCTGGTGGGCGTGCGGACCCGCTGCCGCGTCCGCGCCAGCATCTTCTTCGTGGACAAGAAGGACGGGTCGCGGACGAGGATGGTCATCGATGGCCGGGAGCCCTCGGCCATGCACCGTCGGCCGCCGCGGACCGAGCTCGGCTCCTCTGCCGCGCCCAGCGGCCTCTGCTTCGACGCCGACACGCTGGCGGACGGCGACTCGGGCTACCACGGGGCAAGTGCCGACCTCCGCCAGGGCTTCTACCAGATGCAGTGGCTCGAGGTCGGCTCCTGGTTTTGCTTCGACTTCCCCATGGCCATCAAGAACTTCGACCTGGACTCCGTCTACGACGAGGCGAGCCGCTCCTACGTCCACGTCGACCGTGACACCGTGGTCTACCCTTGCTTCCAGGGTCCCGCGATGGGCTGGAGCATGGTCACTCTTCATTTGCAATGCCATCACTGAGGACGTCACGAGGATTGGCATCGGCCAGGTCCTCTCGATCCCCGCGGGCGCCGCCAGGATCGTCTCCGAGCGCGCCCCCTGCGCCCGTCTCGGACGTGGCGAGCTGGCGGGGGCCTCCTACGTCGACAACGCCAACGTCGCCGGCTCCCCGCGGGAGCTCGTGGACGCCGCGCTGCGCGCCATCCTCCGCGAGTTCGAGAGGCGCGGCCTCTCCTTCCACGAGGTCTGCTACGCGACGCAGGACTTCGTCTGCCGCGGCGTCCGCTTTGACTTCCTCCTCGGCCGCGCCGTGCCGCAGCGCGACCAGGCTTGGCGGCTGCGCCGCGCCGTCACCGCCCTGATCGACCGCCGCGGCTGCACGGCGACGGCCATGGAGGTGATCCTTGGCCACGTCGAAAAAAAACACTTCATGCTCATGCGGCCCGCCCTGGCGATCCTGAGCTCCCTCTACCGCGTGGCCTACTCGGACTGCGACTACTGCAAGTTCGACGTGGAGCAGCTGCGCGAGCTCGGCCTCGTGAAGGCGCTGATCCCGCTCGCGGGCGTCGACCTCGGCGCCCCATGGCACCCCTGGGCCTGCTGCTCGGACGCCAGCATGTGGGGCCACGCTCTGGCCACGTCCAAGTTCGAGCCCGACGAGCTCAGGGACATCGGGGCCTACCGCGAGCGCTGGCGCTTCCTTGCCCTCGACCGCTGCTCCGACGACCCCAGGGGCCTTCCAGGCGCCGAGTGCTCGACGCTGGCCAGCTACGCCGCCGGCGCCAGCGACGACGCCGCCTTCGCCGGCCCGGGCCCGCCGCCTCCGCAGCGGCCCGCGCCGCCGGCGCGCCGCACGGATAGACGTCGAGACGCCCTCAGCCACAGCCTGCCGGGGGGGTACCCCGGCCCTGCCCGACTCCGCCCTGGCGGCTCACAGGTGGCAGCTCGTGGTGCGCGGCGCCTTAAGATTCCTCTTCGGCGCGCCGGCCCGCGTCCCCGAGGGCCGCGCGACCCTGCTGGGTCTCCGCCGGGCCACCCCGCCCGTCGCGGCCCATGGTTGCCGCGCCCCGTCGATCGGCGACAACCTCTCCTCCATGATGGCCTTTGAGAAGGGCAGGTGTGCCAATCCTGTCCTGCGGCAGCTCGCCTGCCAGGCTGCCGCTCGGCAGCTCGCCACGGGCATCCAGCACTACCACCGCTACTCGGAGAGCAAGCGGAACCCCACCGACTACGACTCCAGGGCCGCCGACCGCTTCGAGCTCGCGCCCGGCCAGACGCAGCGGGGCGCGGCTCGCGACCTCGGCGTCACCATCAGCCTGCCGCCCACGCCGCAGGCGCCGCCTGCCGGCCCAGTCGCCGCTGTCGGGACCGGCGAGCTGCCCTGCTCCCCAGGGCCCCCCGCGGGCCATGGCGTTGGGCCCCGCCTGCTTAGCGGCTGGCCGCGCACCCGCGCGAGGGCTCGGTGCATCCTCGAGCTCTACGCCGGCTGCACGCGGCTGGCGGCCGCCTGCCTCGACGAGGGCCTCCAGGCTTGGGTCCCCGTCGACATCTCGCGCGGCTCCTGGCGCGACCTGACCGACAAGAATGTGATTGGCGTGATCCGCTCGCTGATCGTTCGCCGGGATGTGTAGCACGTCCACCTCGGCACCCCTTGCACGCCTTTCAGCCAGGCCACCCCAGCGAGGAGCAGGGCAAAGCACTTGGCCTCGGGTGGCAGCTCGGTCGCCTTCACGCTGGACATCCTTCGCCTGTGCGTTCGCCTCGGAGTTACGTGGTCAGTTGAGAATCCTTCAGCATCTCGTCTTTGGAAGTCTCCCGAGGTCATCGCTTTCTTGGAACGCCACCGTCATTATTTCGGTCACATGCACTACTGCCACTACAACTGCCGCTACCTGAAGCCCACAACCATCGTCACTGATCTGAAGCCTCTGCAGGCCCTCGAAGCCAGCTGTTCCCGTGATCACGTTCACGAGGTCCTTGAGGGCCTGGTTCGGCTCGGCCCAGGAAAGGGCACCGCCTGGAAGACAAGTCTTGCCGGTCGATATCCGGTGGCGCTGGCTCGAAAGTGGGGCGGCATCTTGCAAGCATGCGCCCCTCGTGCCGCCCGGGTCGATGGTCCTCGCCCTCGATGCCGCGGGGGGGCTCGCCTGGCTGCCGCTGCCGGCGTCGCCGACTGGACAGCGACGCCTGACCCAGTCTGCCCGCCAGCCGGCCACCAGGAGTGGCGCCCCAGCCATGTCGACTGGAGCAGCAGCGCCTCGCAGGCCTTGGCCGCCGAGCGGCGCCGCCAGCGCCGCTTAGGAGGGGGCCAGTGCCCGCCGCGGCCCCCGGCGCCAGCGGCCCCCTGCTGCGCTGGCGCGCCGGGCCTTGGCCGCGGCGCCGATCGGCCGGCCCCGGGCACGGCGGCCGCGGACGGCGATCGGCGAGCAGCGCGCGGGGCACAACGACGTGGCCCGCGTGGACTTCCTCGCCAGGCGCCGCGTCAAGCCGCTGACCCAGCAGCACTACGCGAAGGCCGCGGCCGAGGTTCGGCGCTTCGCCGTCCGCCACCACTACCTGGACCAGACAGCCGCGCAGAGGGACAAGCTGATGGTGGACTACCTGCAGCACATCTTCCTGGCGGGCGACGGGATCTTCGCGGCGCGCACGGCCCTCTACGGCCACGCCTTCGAGGAGCGGATCAATCTCAAGGAGGCGCCCGAGTTCCCGCAGGCGCGCCTGACGCTGATGGGCTTCTCCAAGGCCGCCCCCGGCGAGCAGTGGGATCCCTGCCCGTGGGAGGCCGCGGTGCTGATCATCGAGCCGTGTTTGGGCTCTCCCGACCTCCAGCAGCGGCTCCTCGGCGCGGCCGTGGCGGTCGCCTTCGACGGCTACCTGCGGCTCTCCGAGTTGCTGAGTATCAAGAGCTGCGACGTCACCTGCCTACAGCACTCGGCGACGTCGGGCTACACCCAGATCTCGATCACCCTGATGCCGAGCTCGCCGCCCGACGCGCCGCCGTCGACCACCGCGAAGCCGGGCGAGTACGACGACGCGGTTACCTTCGGCGGCGGCGGGCCCGGCACCGCGCCCCGCCGCTTGGCGGCCAGGCTGCTTCGCGACCTGAAGGCAGCCACACCCAGCACCAGGCCGCTCTTCCCGTTCGAGGTCAGGGAGATCCAGCTGGCTCTCCGCCAGGCGGCTGACGCCGCCGGCTTGCAGCGGCTCAGGCTCTGCCCGCACGCCCTGCGGCACGGCGGCGCCTCGTCGGACTTCGCCCTGAAGGCCCGTGCCCTTGCAGAGGTGCAGAGGCACGGGCGCTGGAAGTGCGCCGCCAGCGCGCGGCGCTACGAGAAGGCAGGCCGCCTGACTCGCCAGCTCGCCAAATTGTCTCGCGCACAGCTCTCAGCTTCGGCCCTCGCCTCTCGGAAGCTGGCCGTCAAGCAATCGTTCGTTTTCAGCGGCCAGAGGTCAGGGTGATTTCGCTTATGTTTCGCTCCTCACCAGCTCCCAACACGGGAAGAATATGGGATTTCTGTGAAGTATGCGTGCACGCGCTTGAGTCTTCTCAGTTTCAGCAGCGAACCTTTCTTGATGTACAGCTGCTGTCAGCAGTGCGATGCTATGTGAAAAAATGTGGATTTCCAACAGGCTTCCGCCATCCCTGGTCGTGCGGATTGGGGTCCCTGCATAATGACGTTCTTTGAAGATAATAGTGCCTCACCTGTCTTCGAGCACGACCGTACGCATTTGTGCTCTGAAGGTCTTTCGGCACCGTCCGCCTTCACCCACCGCCACTTGGATTTCTGTGAAGTATGCGTGCACGCGCTTGAGTCTTCTCAGTTTCAGCTGCGAACCTTTCTTGATGTACAGCTGCTGTCAGCAGTGCGATGCTATGTGAAAGTGTGGATTTCCAACCGGCTTCCGCCATCACTGGTCGTGCGGGTTGGGGTCCATGCATAATATATATATATATATATATATACACACACACATACATACATACATATATATACACAAAATTGCAGTGGCGCTTCGCGCCATGCACCTTGGTCCTTGAAGTTTGGTACGCAGGCGGAACAGCAGGAAGGTCAAGCCGACAATTTAGCGATAACTCCTGATTGCCTTTTCACGCATCGCCGTTATAATAATGTTGTTCGCTATCCTTCCTCCATGTTTTTTTCCTTCGTTTCGCCATGCCCCGCGCATTTTTTTTGCGGAGGCTCCTCCTTGGAGAGCCTCTAAAGGCTTCACAAAGCTGTTGCAAGCTTTCTTAAGGCATTCTGGAGACCTCCTGGGCGTATTCTGGGGGCCTCCGGTGGCTTTCTCGAGCCACCCTGCCTCCAACCGCGGTTTCCCTGAACGACCGAATCACGATTTGGAATTCTTCGGAGGGCGTATTTGGGCCATCTTGGACCACCATGGAGCTCTCTGAGGGCCATCTTGGACCCGTGTTGTGCCGTCTTGGGGCTCGGTTGGACTGCCTGGAAGCCCTTTCGGATGGTTGTGGGGCGATTTTGGAGCCTCCCAGGCGGCTTCGGACGCCCAGAAGACCGCCGTCTTGGAGCGTCGGGAAGCCGAAAAGAGGAGAACCCTAAAATTCACCAAGAAACCACAGCAAATCAATGATTTTTGCCTCGGGGGGCCTTCTTGGGAGTGCTCTTGGAGGCCTCTTTGGGGCCGTCCTGGAGGCCTTGGGCCATCTTGAGGTCACGTCGGTCACTCTTGGAGCACTCTTGTGCTGTCTTGGGGGTCTCTAGGACGTTTCCGATGACCCCCCTGATCGCCCTAGGTGTGTTGGGAAGGCTTGGCAAAACGCCATGTGAGGCCCGGTGGCCGCTTCGAGGCCCGTCTGGAGGGTCCCAAAGCCCCTGATCCCGGGAGTCCGGATTTTTTTGGGGGGGGACGGGTTTTCCCTCCGCCCAGGCTTATAAACATATAGGAAGAGGAATATACATATATATATATATATATATGTATATATGTATATGTGTATATATGTACATACATATATATATATATATATATATATATATATATGTATGTATACCGATGTTTTACAGAAACCTGACAAACAAGTTGCCTGGGGAAAGACATCAGGTCGGACTCACTGGCCCGTCTCAGCAATCAGCACTTCTCTTTGCCGGGCTCGGGGTCGGCATCAAAGACAACGGAGCCCCTTCACCCCACCCCCAACCGCATGTGAGATCGGGGCATCAGAAAGGGCCCTTACGCAGGCAATAGCAATAGCTATTTTACCACGGTCAGTTTCTGCTTCCTCCCTCTCACTGGCATGCGACAGGGTGCCACAACATTGTGACGACATTGAACAGGATTTGTCCGTCCGCTCTCCGTAGTGCGACCGGACGTGTCCTCCCCCTCTCCCTCTTATCCTGATTCCCCCCGCAAGCATGTGCAGCTGCCCCATCGTGGGGGTCGGATGCTTGTCGAGTCCCACATTTCTGCACTGTCGGTGGCAGAGATTTCGGCCGAGCTCCGCTACGCTCGAGATGTTGGAGCCGACGTTCCATTGCCACTTTGGCTCAGGGTGCCCAGTCAAGCGATAGTAACCGGTGTTCACTGCGATTGCAATCAAGCTGCTCAGCATCAGTTCTGAGCCACTGCCCATCCTCCACCATGGCGACGGTCTTGCAGATGATCGATTTCCAGGAAAGCCTGGGCAACGCCCTGGATCGGGTGCGTCTGGTGCTCGACGCGGCGAAGCGCCCCTGCTTCGCTGCCGATGTGCACCACCAGTACTCTGACAAGTACCTTCTCGCCGAGTTCATGACGCGCGCTGCCACGGCCTCACAGGTGAACTGCCTCGCCACGCTCGGCCTCGATGCCGAGAAGCTCTCACACTTGCGAGCCTGGGCGGCGTCACAGGCCGTTTCCCTGGAGTTCACCGCCGAAGAGCGCTGCAGCTTTGCCCACGAAGAGCGCCGAGAGGTAGAGAGCCCGACGAAGATTGTGGATGAGGTGTCCGTCATGGGCTCGGTCCGCAGCGCGCTGACCAGCAAGGTAGTCACCACAGTCACGGAGTACTTCTGGACCGTGTCGGTCTCCTACAGCTTGGTCGCCGTGCGAGGCGCAGGCGCTGCGGCCGACGACCGGCTGCAGCTCTTCGCCCGCGCGGGCAGCGAGGAGTTGAAGACTACATCGAAGTCGATTCCTCGCCCTGAACTGCATACGCATCCCCAGCTTAGCGTGAACGTCAGCTGGCTCATGTTGCACCTCTCTGCCTCCGCCACGCCCTGCTTCAGCATTGACCGCGCGCACGTTAAGTGCCACACGCCCCGCCGCAACACCGACGTCGCGGACGCCCTGGATCACTTTTCGCGAGTGGCGGCGTGGGCGCGCAAGGTGGCGGCTTACCTGCAGCGCCTTTTTGAGATCCCGCTTGACAAGGCTTCCTGGGACATCGGCGCCATCGGCCGCGACCAGCCGCTGATACCCGTGCTCCCACTTCTGGAGGAGCGGCACGGGGCCGAGGACGGCGCCGCGGCGGCCGACGCCTCGGCCGGCCCAGCCCCGGCAGCGAGCGCGGGCATCGTCGCCACCGTGGGGCCCGCTGCGGAGGGCCTCTCGGACAGCGCGCTCCTGGGCCTCTCCGACATGAACCTCTTGCTCGAGGAGGAGGCGCGGGCCCTGCGGCAGAGGTCCGCGGCGCTGGCGGAGGCATTCCCCAGCGCCGACGGCGGGCGCTTCGCCACGGCCGCCGAGGCGCGGCTTGCGGCCACGCTGACGCACTGCGCCTCGGTCTGCAGTCAGCTGGCAGCGGCCATGGACTACATCGAGTCCATGCTTCGCAGCCAGCTCGTCGCTGCCATCGGCAAGGAGGTGACACCGGCGGCCTTCGCGGATTACATGAGGTTCCACAATCGTCGGCTCTTCGCTGCACCCTACGCCCCGTCACCCTTCTGCTTCGCGGTGCGCCGCTCCGAGGGCCACTCGCCCGAGGGTACCGTGAGCATCGAGCAGGAGCCTCGCGACCCAGGCGCCGAATCTGGCATCGCCGAGCCCATCGTGACTATGGTGGCGCGGAGCGAGCGGTCCCACCCGATGCAGTTCCCCATTAGCGCCTCCGCCAACGTGACCTTCAAGGGGGACCGCTACCTGCATGCTTGGCTCAGCCACCAGTTCACAGGGCACGCCAGCGCCGAGCTCGCGTTGGTCTCCAAGGCACGCCAATTCAGTTCGATGATCGTCATGGTGGGCCGAATTGTCTCGGCAACCGTCTTCGAGCCGAAATGCGCGGCAATTGTGCAGAACAAGGACGAACTCAGCATACCCCTGGAGCTGTCCACGATCCCGACGCCCAAGGAGTTCAGAGACGCCATCGAGTCGTTGTCGCCAGAGCAGCAGCACTTCGCCAAGGCCTTCCGCGCCATGCAGCTGGAAAGCACGCTCTTCGGCGTCCTCGTGATCCAGATCAAGCCGCAGCTTGAGAAGGTGCTGAACCTGCCAGGGGACAGCCTCGCGAAGGAGATCAAGCTGACGCAGGACCTGATGCAGCTGTTCATCAAGTACCAGATCCCCAGCGACCTGCTCTCCTTCGACGCGGCGACCTTCGCGCGGGCCCAGGCTGCCGAGGCCTGCGGCGAGCTTCTAGGCAGCGCCACGACCTCGGAGCGCCTGGCGGCAGTCCGGGAGAACGTCAGGGCCATGATGGCCGTCATCGAGGACGAAAAGAAAGAGGAGCTCCACGAGAAAACCCTGGAAGCGCGCTTCGAGGCGCCAATGGGGGGCTACGGCAAGAAAGGCGGCGGTGGCAAGGGAGCAAGTCGCGATCTCTTAGGGATGACGTTTGGCGGGATGCCGCCGCCGCCGCCGCCCGGCGGCGCCCGGATGATGATGCAGACCGCCAGGAGGTCCGTGGCCAGGTGCGTTGAAGAGAGCGCAGTTGCCATGGAGTGCGCGATCCAGTATAGCGCTCCCATGCCGATGGCGGCCGCGGCGGCGGCTCCAGCGCCCGCCGCGGCGCCGGCGGCTCCAGGAGCGGGGTCGGCGCGTGTACCCGTACCCCTGGCGCAACCGTTGCAGATGCAGGCGCCTGCGAGCGGCGGTGCTGCGGACCAGGTCAGCGAGGATGCCGCCAGGGATTACACCCGCGTGCCCCGAGAGATGGACCAGCGGTTCGAGGCCTTGGACACGGACAGCGCCCTTCGGCCCACCATCATCTCGGTGGCTCAAAGATGGGGTCCTGAGGGATGGGGTCCTAAGGATCGGAAGGGATCCAAGGGTGGATTTACATTGTTTGAGGCACCTCGTCCTTAGGACCACATCCCTCAGGACCCCATCGTTGAACCCCCGATCATCAGCCCCGGCGACGTATGGCGCAAGAGGTCGCAGAGGGCCTTGCTGGCCCAGCCCAGCGACGCCGTCCTTGACGGCGAGGAGCAGAAGCGGGAGCGCGACGCAGCCTTCGACCTCCTCGACGCCCTGACGAAGTCTGGCGCCCTGCCCTTGGAGGCCGCGGCCCTTCACATTGTGGTGGCTGCCACGCACTGCTTCGACAAGAGCGTCACGGACACCGTCGTCCAGGACAACGTGTCGCCCATTGAGAAGGTGGAGCGTTCTTCCTTGATCATGGCGGCCACGGTACACCAGATGCCCGTGGCGGCCTTACTGGAGGGCTCGCAGCTCTCGCGGGTGCGCAGTAGTTGCCCTGCGCTCTTCGTGGAAGACGGCGAGGCGAGTGCAGTAGTCTGAGAGGGACGAACAGCAGCAATGTAGTGTGTCTGTTCGCACACCAGCCAACACGTCAAGTCCAGCACCTTGTTTAAAGCAGTCTTAGTACACGTCGTTGTGGTCACTCGTGCTGCCCAGGAGCGACACATTGCCCTTGATCGTTATTTGCAGCCTTCTAGTGCTTCAAAGGGGGATTCTGGGTAAGTAAAAGGAAATTGACAAAGAAGGGACAGTGTGATTCCTGGCTACAGTATCAGCATGAGAGGTCGCGCCCAGGCGGTTCGGCAAACCGCTGGCGGGTGTTGTTGCGTCGTTTGCGTCCGACGAGTTTTTTTGTTCCACAGATTTCCCTTGCGGCTTGCAAGACTGATGCTGGTGCACGGCTTTGACGCACTCGTGTCTCAGCTCGATGGGTTCTGCCCGCGGCAGCGGCGTCCGACTGCCAGTTGCCGCGCTACACGACCCACGGCGAACACCGCACAGCGACCATGGTGCATCAGCAGTGGGATAAGCAGAAGCATGATATCCTCCTCCTGTGTTCCTGTGCCCGCTCTTCGTCTTCCTGCGGCCCGCAGGTTCCATGGAGGCGCGCAGGTTTGCCGACCCCGTGTTTCAACTGCCGATTAGTTCTGCCCGCAGCATCGGCGGCCGACTGCCAGCTGCTGCGCTACCCACGGCCCGCACCACGCGGCGACGACAGAACTCCTGCAATGAGAGGAGCCCAGACAAGCAAACAACAATTGCTGGAACCAACGTCATGGGGTGGGGGGGAACCTGGTATTTTGTGGCGCCCCACCTATCCCTACCAGACCATCCAGGAACGATTCCCAGGCGAGCTGCCCTGACCAGGGCACTGCAGGAAAACCGCGTGACAACGGAGGACGAGAGCCGCCTTGTCACCCGCGCACTCCCGTGGGGCAGTTTCTCGGACTGGCTGAGGGCCCCCCCGTAGTCAATGGGAGGACAAACCACCCCGACCCCCATAATTGGCGTGCTGAACAGCTCTGCCCTGTTCGAGTCCTTCCATGGGTGCGTTTAGCAAACGGTTTCGCTTTTCGGGGTGCCTATTCTGAGGAGGGTGCTTCAACTCTCCACGTGAGGGCGCCGAGAAGGCCCTTATATGTTTGACTCCTGAGGTCTTCGTGGCGGCGGAAGGGCGCGCACAAGCCAGGATTTAATCTTAAGTCGGGCAGGTCCCTCTACAGGAGGAACATGAAAACATAATCACACAATAGTACGGGGACGATGGTTTGATTAGTTGTTGACTATGTGTGAACATATTTTTGCTATTTTTACTTTCCGTCCAAAAACTGCCTGTAGGAGGACACGCCCGACCTAAAGTTAATCATGAAGGCCTTCACGCCTCTTGAGGCCATCGCGAGTTGATGCTGAACTGTTTATCTGAAGGCCTTTGGGGTCTCGTTTGGGGCGTTTCTGAGGCTCTGTTGGGGACCTCCGGAGCCTGCCTGGCCGATGCAGGAGACCATCGACGAACAAAGGAGAGGCATTCAGGTAATGAAGGCCCCCTGTCGGAAGCTGGAAGATCATCTCCGGGCGCTTACGTGGGGCGCTCTCGGGATGCTCTTGGGCGCTTCAGGAGCCATATCGGGGCTCTTCTGTGCCTGTCGTTGAACAAAACTGCCTGTTGTGTAGAAGGATTGGCTTCTCGCGGGCATCCTTGGGAGCATTCGAAGCCTATTGAAGCCGTTTCGGATGCATGTGATTGTATATTCGAAGTGTTCCGGTCCAGGACCGATCCCCAGCAGCTCCTAGCGACCCCCCCCTTCACGCCTCCCTTCGCACTCCTCCTCCCCCATTCGACGACGACGACGATGATGGCGGACGGCAACGGCGGACGTCGAACGACGCACCACCTACGGCGCCGAACGACTAACAACGACGCCGTACGATCAACGACACCACGAACGATGGACGAACACCATGACGACGACGACCACCACCACCACCACCACCACCACCACCACGACGACGACGACGACGGCGGCGGCGGCGGTGGCGGCGACGGCGACGACGACGGCGGCGGCGGCGGCGGCCACGACGACGATGGCGGCAGCGACGACGATGACGACGATGACGAACGACATACGACGACAAGAAACTGCGACGACGACGACGACGACGACGACGACGACGACCGACCGAGGATGAGGAGCGTCGGCCCCGCCAGCGCCCCTTGGGGCCGACCCCACCCCCGGGTCCCTGCGCACCCTGTCCGCATCCCCTTCCTCGCCGTCTTCCTCCGCCTGCTCCTCGTTCCTCCTCACCCCTCCTCCTTCTCCTCCTCCTCCTCCTTCTCCTCCTCCTCTACCTTGACTCACAGCGAGCTCGCGAACAGATGAAGACGATGGGGGGGGTCCTGGGGCATTGGACCAGCGACCAGATCCCCGACGTATACCACAACAACCAGCTCATCGACAGATGGCGGGACTGGATGGAATGCTGCGAAGTTTACGTGCATAGGGTTCTACGTCGCCCTTCGTTCGGGATCATCTTTATGAGCAGGGACGACGATTTCTTCGGCAGGCAGGCCTGTCGCATCTGCAAAGATTTCTTGCATGCTGGAGACATGGATTGACGAAGACGGGCCCAACGACTTCAGCAACCCAGGCCGACCCCCGACCTCCTCCAACACTTGGACAGGCACGAGCTGAGCCTCGAGCACGGCGACGACATGTTCTGGAAGCGGATGAGATCAACGATAACAGCGTGACCACGATTCCGATGGAGGTCAATGGCCCTGACGAGTATGCTGATTTCAACGACGCCACAGCGCTGCCCCAGCTCCCGCACACGCTGCACATGGAGTGGGATTGCGCCAAGAAGCAGATCGCGATGATACCGCCGTCCCGCATGTGGCCCATACGGAAGACGCGAGCAGGAGGATCGCCAACGACGTACTGTATGCACGCGAACACGCAAGATGTGGCACATGCCCGGATACGCTGGCGGAGCCGACGACCAATTTCACCACATGAGCTGCAGCAGCCTCGGGGACCACGTCGCCCTGCCGCGCGGCCAGCTCTCGCATGATGCGATGACGCGGACGGGGAGTCGGCCAGCAGAACATAGACGGCAGCGACGCGAACAGCATCTCCCATTCCCTCACCCGCCCGGCCATCGTGCACCGCGCCTGTGGGCTCAATAAGGAGAGGATCAGTCGACTCCGCATAAGAATGACCCTCCCCCAGAGTGATCAGTGGCGCGGGCCAGGTGGGGCCCCCCCGATCGCCGAAAGCGATGCGGCAGTGGCGTCTTGCGCGCCTGCGCTCGGCCCCCCCCCGCGGCCCGCAAACACCCTCGCACCAGAGGTCGCTCTTGCCCAGGGCCACTCTTGCGCGTAGTCGAATTAGGCGTAGAGGAGGTAGCAGTTCCTTGATGAATGATGAAGTCGCCGACGCCCACAGCGCGCCCGTGGGCGCCATCAACGACGCCAGCTTCGGCGACTGCCACATCCACAGGCAAGCGATCCTCGCCGCGCGCGCCGCCCTGCGGTTGCCCCCGAGCCCCCGCGGCGGCGCGGGGCCGCCTAATTCGAACGCGTCCGCCCCATGGGACGCCCCCCGCCCCTCCCATACCGCCCCCCCCCCCCCCCCCCCCCCCCCCCCCCCAGTTTTCCTCCATCCCTCCGCGCCGCCCCCCCTTGTTGCCTCATTCCTGCTGCGACGCCTTCCTCTGCCTCCCCCTCGCGGCTAAGCTAGATATGAAGAAGATCCTGGGCGCGCTTGGCCCTGCAGCTCACAGTTTGGCCATGGCGGCTGGCACGTAGAATGTTGCCCCGATGGGAGATGCGAGGTCCCTTGCGGGAGGTGACTTCGGCCTTGTGGAACGGTTGCAGTGCGACGCATGTCCCGAACAGCGTGGCCCCTTTTGCGAAACGTTTCAGCTTGGCCCCACACGCAGGGGCATGACCTGCAAAAGGGGCTTCTTCGGACCGCACCCCCCTCGCAGCGGCGACCGCGCGCCCCTCGCCTAGAGGCCCGTTGTCGGCACCGAAACGCATGAGCCAGCACACGGCACACAAGAGGATGGTTTCGGAACAATTCAGGGGGTTGAGAGATTTTCCCGATCGGCGGTAGCTGCGCGTCGGCAGTCTCTCAGGAATCGACAAGCATCGGCGATGTTGAGCGTCTCCAGCTTGCATTCATGGCCTAGCGTGGGCGAAGTGGGCAACAGTGGTATATTGACGTTCGCGCGCTCCGATTACATGATGATCCCCCCCCCCGTCTTCGACGTTGGCTGCGGCGTCTGCGCGGGCCCCGACGGCCTGCATTCACTGATCGCAGCTTTGAAGAACAGACGGTTTGAGGGGGGGTTAGAAAAGGTGGAGCAGAGCAGGGGCTCTGAGGAGGTGAAGAGCAAGGCGCGCACACAGCTGTGGGCTCTAAAGAGAGGGCGCGCCCTGACGAGGCGTCGGATCGGATTGGGGGGGGGGGGGGGGGGGGGGCGGACGAGCACGGTCTACCTTGCCCGAACCCTGGCCATGCGGCCCGCGCGCTGGCCCCCCTCTGGGACAGCGCGCTCGCCCATGCGCCGCACGATGAAAAGCCCTGGCCCGCAACCTTGTCCCACGCGCACTCGGGCGGCGGACTTCCTCGCGAAACCCTCCAGCGCCTTGACTAGGGCGGGTTTGGAAGAAGAAGAAGAAGATAATATAAAAAAAAAAAAAAAAAAAAAAAAAAAAAAAAAAAAAAAAAAAAAAAAAAAAAAAAAAAAAAAAAAAAAAAAAAAAAAAAAAAAAAAAAAAAAGCTGCACGTGGCATTCCCCCCCTGGGCCCGATGGCACGCCGCGTGGATGTCGGGGGCGCTTGACCTCTGATAGTCTGCGCGGCGTCTACGGGGCGGTTCCCGAGAGCGAAGGCGATGCTTCTCGCGAGAGCCGTAGGATCAGCAGAATGGTTGTTCTACCAAAGGGAGAGGAGCCCGCAGATCAAGGCGCCTTTGTCTCAAGGCTGTCAGGATCTACCCGATCCCATTGCTTCCCGACGCACGCGCGAGCATCCTCTCGGGCGCGTTCTGTAGCGGGCTGAATGAATGAGCACTTCAGACGTTCTTCGAGCAGCAGCGAGGGGGCGTCAAAGGCCGCAACATCCTGGATAATGTGGTCGATGTGGAGGAATGTTTTTGTTCAGTTGATTCTTATTCACTGATTTTCGGGCGGCGCCCCCGTCGACCCCCCCGGAGCGGTTTTCCCGAGCCCCCGGGGGCGCGGCCGCCCCGCGGGCAAGGGTTGGATCTTAGATTTCTTCGCGTGATATGAGTAGCACAGTAGCGGTTAATTTCGCTGGGGCCGCTGAGATGCGGCCCCCAATGACGCGTGGAGCAAGCCAGGGGGATCCTTCGTTGTTGATTATCTTCCCCATGGCGTTGGACCCGGTTCTGACATGGATCAAGCATCCAAGCATTCCCAGGCACGGCGTGGAACTCGCGCAAGCAGATGACTGCTGATACGGGCCGCGTGAGATCCCCGCTAAGACGATGCCAACGCCTCTTTTGTTGGACCAGCTCTCTTCTGCCATCGGTCTCTCGCTGGACATCGGCCGGCGCCGCGCGCTCGACTGCGGGGCGACGTCTTGCGCGCGTCTCTCTGGGCTCGCGAGGACGAAGGGGGGCAGATTTCACGCGATCAAATTCGAGGCCCACGCGTCATGCCTCGGGCTCTGGGTCGGACCAACGGCTCGCACAGCTGCCCGGCGATGCGCCATGATTAAGTTGTGGCAGAGGGCGCAG